AACATAGACACGTGAAACACATTATGCACTCCTGCCAACCTAGGGGGTAGAGCAACACGGTACGCAACCTCACCAACCTTCTCCAATACCTCAAATGGACCAATGTATCTAGGACTCAACTTTCCTTTCCTTCCAAACCTGATGACTCCTTTCCATAGTGATACTTTCCAGAATACCATATCCCCCACATGAAACTCTAAGTCTCTCCTACGATGATCAGCATAACTTTTTTGTCTACTCTGAGCAGTCAATAATCTCTCTCTGATGGTGATAATTTTTCGTGTAGCATCCTCCACCAAATCAGGTCCCAACATTTGCCTTTCACCAACCTCATACCAACACAAAGGAGACCTACACTTCCTCCCATACAAAGCCTCATAAGGAGGTACTCCCAAACTAGAATGATAACTATTATTATAGGCAAACTCCATGAGCGGCAAATAATCATCCCAATTACCTCTCCACTCCAAAGCACAAGCCCTCAATAGTAGGCATACGGTTGAAAAAACAAGCAGCAGTAAGAATTGTCCCACCCTAAAACGGAGTAGGAATAGAGGTAGAGAGAAGAAGGGACCGAGCTGTCTCAAGGAGATGATGGTGTTTACACTCAGCTCGACTAGTTTGGATGGGTATATTAGAACAGGAAGTTTGGTAAATGGTACCCAAATTGGGCAAATACTCACATAAATTAGTTTTAAAATATTCCTGACCCAAGTCAAACTGTAACAGTTTAATAGTAGACCCAAACTGTGTAGTGATCATAGACTGAATGTATGGTATATATGGTAGAAGTCAAATTTATGAGTCATAAGATAAACCCAAATATAACGGGTGCAATCATCAACAAAAGACACATAGTACGCAGAACCCCCCTTGGTGAGAACAAGAGAGGGTGCACAGACATCCATATGCACAAGAGAAAAAAGCGTAACAAAAATAGAAGTACTTTTATGAAAAGGTAATACTATCATTTTGGCAAGTTTACACCCTCGACATTCAGTAATTTGACTAGGAGAAACTTAACCTAACAATTATGATTGAGCTAATGATTGTAAGCGGTCAACAGACAAATGACCTAATGTGGAGTGCCACAAATAAAAAAGACTCGACTGGTAATCTAATTAAAAAGAGAAAAAAGCAACCGGAGAGGTAGTCATAGGCATATGCAAGCTCTCCACTACATAGAGGTCTCAAACTCTATAACCAGTCACAATCTGCCACTTGGACATCTAATCTTACACAAAACAAATAAAAGAAAAAAATATAACATCAAGATTGAAAATATCAAGCTGACTAATAGATAACGAACTAACAGATAACTATCATACATAAAAGACAGTATGGATAGTAACAACAGACATGGAACAAGGAAGTACAAGCCTAATTGATAAGACAGGCATACCAGACCTGTTGGCAACATTAATAGTAATAGGAAAGGAAAGGGAATACAATTATGGAGTAAGAAGAAATGGGGAGTCGTATGATGAGAACCACCAGAGTCAAAGATCCAAACTAAATGAGAGATACTTGAAGAAGAACCAAGCAAACCTAAATGAAGAAAGGTAAGAGTGGAGGTAGATGAGGATGACTGAGAGGTAGACTTCATATACTGAAGCTAAGTAATTTGAGCACTCAAGGAAAGCTAAGTCAGGATCAAAAGCCAGAGCAAATACAGTATAAGATGCAGGAGGCCGAAAAGTACTCGGAACAGGACCTCAGAATTGTATTTGAGGCGGTTGAGAAGACGAAGCAAGCTGACGTCACTTCTTAGGATAGTGATACTTCCAATGCACCCTCTGATGGTAGAAGCACACTCATCTGACGCTAGGGGCCCCTTTTTGGGCTTGGCAGAAGACTGGAGCTGATGAGGATACGGGGTCGACAATAGGGGTGGCTGAGCAAGAGCTAAGAAGACTGAAGGGGACAAAGTTTGACTGGCCGTCTTCAGATGGGTTTCCTCTGGATGGAGCTCAAGAACTATAACATCCACAAAAGGGAAAAGAGAATGATGAAGGATGCCACCACGAAAAACCTTACACTAAGGGGAGAGAGTTATTAAGAATTGCACCAGATGACCCCCCTCTCGGAATTAAACATATGCATCTAGTACCTTAATACTAGATGGTTCCATGAGAACATCATCCCAATACGATTTTACACAGAGTTATGAAACCAAGTCAGAGCTTGGGTATTGTCGCAATCCCAAGTGTCACAATCAACAAGATACCTCTCATTTCTCGTATCCGTCGGACGAGGGACAAAACCAGAAACATATCCCCATTTTTTTTGACCTAGTAGAAAATTTTTCATAACACTCAACCAATACACATAGTTGGCACCAGTGAGTGTGCAAGTAATAGCCTGAATTCTATTATCTGACATCGTAATGAACCAAAACAAAATACATAACTGATTAGGTGACTTGTAATAAATCGAAAACTGATGGGTCAAAATGTAATAAACCTAAACAACCAGAACCAGATCACCACAATATAATAAACATAAAACATGTACAAATGTGGTCAAAGTGTAATAAGAACAAACCTTGTGGACTAAGATCAGAGAACCAATACGAAGAGAGAGAGAGAGACAGAGACAGAGACAGAGAGCTTTATGATTATAGAACAGAGACCAGAGATGAAGAAATAGAGACAACTTCGTCAACACAAATACAAAGCAGAGAGCTTCGATTGACACGCAATCTTGAGAGGGAGAGGGAGAGGGAGAGGGAGACAGAGACACAGAGAGAGAGAGAGAGAGAGAGAGAGAGAGAGAGAACTTCCGCGAACAAGACCAGAGAGAGAAAGAGAACTTTGCGAACACCAATCATGATTTCGATGCTCGATGACCTGCAACTCAAGTATCAAGAAACCTAGCAAAACTTCAAGAACTAGATTTGATCAAAGGAGAAGATGACCCATGACCCACACGGAGACTAAAGAGGAAGACAATTTCTAGGGTTTTGGTGGTGGCTTTGATACCATGTAAGATTTCTGAATAATAATCTGTATATTCAATTGTGTTTGTAATACAAGAGTACATCGTTTTATATAATAATCTAACCCTAAGACTAAAAGGGAAAGTAGAATATTTATTCAATCCCGTAGAATATATACAAAATATATACTACCATATATATATATATATATATAAATCCTAATATTCTCACAATGTCATCCAATAACTTGGTTTTTTCTGTGGGTAGACTCAACTTAGGAGGAAGGGGAGAAAGCTAGGAACAAAGTAAAGATAGAAAGAAAAAGAAAACTAGAGAAAGAGAATGCAATTACTACAGATTGTAGTTCCAGTGTTTAATAATAAAAAAAATAAAAAAAAAATTGAAAAGAAAAAAAAATCCAATATAGAAAAGCTAATTAGAAATAAGAAAATGCTGTATAGACTATCGTATTTACTGATTTAGTTTTTACAAACTTTATTAACAAACTGATATATCATATAATAATAAAACTTTGGCTTTGAAATGGGACCCAGTAAATTATCATGATTGGTACACATCAATTTGTGAATTTTTTTGTATAGCATTACTCACAGAAATATTACACAAGCAACTAGCATTAATCAGGAAGAATGTTCTCAATGGAAGACAAACCACATGGTGTAGGGGAAGATCAAAGAGCACTTTGGTTTAGTGGCTGGATTTTACTATCTATCCATATATATATAAATATATATTTGTGTGCATTGCTTCAGTTCATTTCATTTATATAATCAAACCATATAACCTTTACTTACCAATAAAACCACACCCCCTTCTCCCCTTCACTAAACCTCCAAGAAAAAAAAAAGAGAAAAGAGAAAAGAAAAAAGAAAAAGAAAAGAAAATATCAGGTACAATCAAACAGCGGGTAAAATTCCCATTTGATAAAACAACATTTGTTCAATCAACAAAACAGACATAAGAAAAGGTACCATGTAGTGTGTAAAAAATAATGTATAGAGAAAGAGAGAGAATAAATTGTATGTATTATTATTGATTGATATATTGATAGTAGGTGTAGTGGAGGTGATAGTGGGTTAGGTGAAGTGGAGTGTGTGGTGAAGTGGAGGTAGGTGAAGTGGAGTGTGTAGTGGAGTAGGTGAAGGTAAAGATGAAAAATTCTAACAGCCCCCCGCAAACTCAAGGAGGAGAGAAACTAACCAACTTGAGTTTGGAGAGAGTAACAAAACAAGAAAATACATAAAAATAAAAAAGGATAGGAGACACTGTATGGTCGTGTCAGACCATTGGTGAAGACACTGTATGGGGTGTCATAACGTTGTAGAGGACACTGTATGGTGGTGTCAGACCGAGGTAGAAGACAGTTTATGGGGTCATGTCGGACCGTTGTAGAAAAACAGTTTATGGGGTCATGTCGGACCGTTGTAGAAAAACAGTTTATGGGGTCATGTCGGACCGTTGTAGAAAAACAGTTTATGGGGTCATGTCGGACCGTTGTAGAAAAACAGTTTATGGGGTCATGTCGGACCGTTGTAGAAAAACAGTTTATGGGGTCATGTCGGACCGTTGTAGAAAAACAGTTTATGGGGTCATGTCGGACCGTTGTAGAAAAACAGTTTATGGGGTCATGTCGGACCGTTGTAGAAAAACAGTTTATGGGGTCATGTCGGACCGTTGTAGAAAAACAGTTTATGGGGTCATGTCGGACCGTTGTAGAAAAACAGTTTATTGTTTGACTAATGGCATAAAAATACATGACAGATAAATCTAAGCCAAAACCTAACAATTGTAAGATGCAACACATAATTCACAAACCTAAAAATAACGTGAACACAAGGGATAAGAGACTAGAACAACAAGCATATATATATATATTGAAAACATAATTAGAAATATATGAAATGTCAAGTAGACTGAACAATAATTCAATAAACATATTAGTTTAACCCAGTCATGTCCAATTAAATCATAAAGCACATTCAGTATGCTCAAGCAGCATTTGCCTACAATATCTCTCAAGTTTTAAATACCATTGACTTACATTTTAGTTTTTTATTGTCGCAATGGTAGTCTTGTTGTCCCCATGCTTCAATAGGCCTACAATGTCAACAAGAAGAAGATAAAGAAAACACCACATGCTTTCCAAAATTTGCCCAACTTTAGATGAGCATTTTAGGCTCTATTTGTTTCAAAGTAAATCAATTTTGAGAAAAATATTTTTCCTATTTTTGTTGTTTGATTGGCCAAAAAATAAGTGAAGTATTTTTCAAGTAAAATAGTTTTGGTTATAAGGCAAAAAATTAATTACGTTTCAAAAGTCCAAGCTATTTTTTTGCTCTCGGTCAACGCTTTATAATTTTCTTTTAAATTTTTTTTATCTATAATTAGTTCATTATTAAAAAATTTCTTGTAGAAAACATTTTGTCAACCAAACAAATGAAAATTTAAACAAAAACATTAGTTATGTCTAAAATCATTTCACATGAATTTTTTTTTTTTACGGTGTAAATGTTTTACATCGAAACAAACAAAGCCTTAGAGTCAAATAAAATTATTCCCCCCGCCCCCCAGTTGAAAAAAGGGGGGAAAAAAAAGGTAAGAGCTTACATGTCTGTTATATTAGAGCAGCATGAAAACAAGTTCCTGAAAAAATAAATAAATAAATAAAAGAATATGCCGAAGGAAAGGTGCATGGAGAAAATATGAAGTGTGAAATCTGGGTTTCCCTTACCAGTTTTTAGTAATGCTTTTATCTGGTAAGGGTAAACTTGGGAATTTGTTTTCAGAAATATCCCTGCAAAAATGTGGCATAACATACAATAAACATTAATAACTTCTACCACAAAAATCATAATTTTTTTACGATGTGCACATCTTTTGAGGTGTATGTTGTAAATTTCTCCTCCTTAAAAACAACTTCAACAATTCTAGAATCAACAAATTAGTTATGGTTTGGGTAAAAAATAATGAATACTACTAATAAATATATAAGATCAACTACATTTAACATCTTTCCATTTTCATCAAACTCTTTCATTGAAATCTCCATTTTTAATTGTGACAGTCAACTCTTTAGACTTATTCAAGTTACAAAGTTACTAGCATGTAAGGTTGACAAAAATTAGTATGTGAACTACATTTGACATTTTCTTGGGGCATTAGCATCCCCACACTTTTAGAAAAATCCTACTTTGGTCTGTTGCACTTTCGCCAAAATTTCACTCTGGTCCACCCACTTTTAATTGTGCCAATAAATAAATAAATAAATAAATAAAAATGTCACGTGAGACACACATGCTAATTTCCATCATCATTATAATGCCAAATGAACAGAATGATAACATTGCAACTAGACTTAAAAAATAGGAATTAACTATCACAATTGAAAGTAAAGAGGCTAAAGTGAGATACTGAAAAAGTGGAGGAGTGTTAAGTATAATTAACCCAAACATATAACAAACAAAATGAGCCCACACTGGATTTATAAGTTCATACTATAGTTGTCAAATCGGGATTCAAATCAAGAATCGAAATGGTATTGTACTGAATCATGAATTGAATCAAATCGAATCGTGAATCATAAAGATTCGGTCACCTTCTTTTAAATTACATAGATATTTAGATATTAAATATATCTAACAAATATGAAATATTTAGAGTCAAATCAATGAAAATATTGTTTTAAATGATGATCATGTAGTCTGGGTAAGAAGTCGACACTGATTCCCATGTTTACCACTTCACCTCTTCCTAGTGGCGACTCTAGGAATTTTTGTCAGTGGTGTTAATCAAAAACTTAAATACCATATATCTTATAGAAAATTCACATTAATCATTATATCACATATGGAGAAAAAAATCAACAAATTAATTTAAATTCTAAAATTATAAAAAAACATATTTCAATATATTGATACTATTATTTAAGCAAAAAGACATGCTAATACACGAGCTTCTACAATTGACCACGACGAGATTTCATATTTTGAAATCGTTGCATAATAAACTCATTATCAACACTATCAAATAGTGGGTTCAAAAGAGTAGGATTTAAAACTATGGGTTCAAAGTTGTATTTTAGTGGGTTCAATTACTAATTTTTTTCCTAAAATCTAATATTTATATAATAATAATAATAATAAAAATTCAGCCAGGGGGTTCGGGTGACACCCTTGGCCAAGCCTTGGAGCCGCCCCTGTCTTCCCTTTTAGATACTATTTCTTATCATTCGTTCTTAATAAAAAAAAAAGCAAACAAAGGCAAACCTTCAATTTCCAAGTAGCAATAACTCAACAACAACAATATTTTAAACTATTTTTACAAGGTTAAAAAATCAAAATCTTCAAACTTTTTCAAAAATCTCACTCGATGCCTTCAAAAGATTCATTTTGTAAATGCAAGTACTTAGATAAAATTGAATATATAAGCCTAGAATATTGTAGAGAGAGAGTTCATTTTTTTTTTCCCTCTAAGGTTTGAGTATTTGAGAGTAAATTGGGAGGGACAAAGTCAAAAGATGACATATAGTAATCCTAGATACCTTAAAAAGGATGTGTGAACCCTTTTCTAAAAAAATAAAAAAGAAAGCCAAACATCAATTTTAGCGTAACGAATCGAATCGATTTACGATTCACCTACGATTCATAGCTATTTGCAATTCACACAACCTGTTCAAATTAATTACCTACTGAATCAATTCGAATCGCGAATCATATGATTCTAATAACAAAGGTTCACACTATTGTCCCAATCATGACATTGGTAAGTTGCACTGGGCTCGATATGCAAAACAATCATCAAATTATAGTTTGAGCTCATCCTATATATTTTCACATTAACACTCTATTTCTCTGGTCAAAAAAAATTTTCTACCAGAAAATATTTTTTATGAAATTTTTTTGGAAAATGTTTTGTAGAAAAAACATTTTTTAATGTTTGGTGGTAGTGTTGGAGGAAAGAAGGTGGTGGCATTGTGGTGGAACAATGGTGGTGGCCGTGGTGATGGCGATGTGGTGGTAGATGTAAGAGTGGCGGTGGTGGTATGGTGACATTGGTAAGACTTTAGTACGGAAAACGTTTTCTTCCCTCTAAAAGTGAAAAACTTTTTCCGCCCAAATAGACTTGTTTTCTATTGATCATGGAAGATGCTTTTCGTTAATTTCCATTTTTCACTATACCAAACACTAGAAAATATATAAAATATTTTCCAGAAAATGCTTTCCACCCAAACAAATGGGGCGTATACAATTTTTCAATATGATTTTAATGAACAAATATATGATGAATATTTATTTATTTATTTATAATTAATTAATTATTTTTTTTTTTTTTTGGTCAAAAGATAGAATGTTAAAGGTTAGTAGAAAAGTTAAATTACAAAAAAGTGTTCATCGTTGTTTTATTAGCTCGAAGCCTAAATGTCACTACGCTCTAAGGCCAGCTACATGACCATTTTGGTAAATACTAGGGTTTACAAGATGATCTATGCTAGTCCAAAACATGGAAAGCATTTTTTTATTCTACAAAATAAATCATTATTAGGGTTATTTATATATATATATATATATATATGTGTGTGTGTGTGTGTGTGTGTGTTGTGTGTGTATACTTTGTAAATAGTCATTGTTCAAGTTTAAAAAAGAATATATTTGAAAAAATTGGAGACAGTTTCAGTCTCTAAAGTATGTGTTGTTTTTCATTTTAATCCCTTAAATTTTAATTTTGTCATTTTGGTCCTCAAAATTATCAATTTGAGTCAATTTAGTCCTAGGTCTAATGTCCGCTGACATTGACAACAAAAATATGAATAAAAGACAGTTTTGATCTCTAAAGTATGCATTTCTTGTCATTTTAGTCTCTCAAATTTTAACTTTTGTCATTTTAGTCCTTAAAGTTGTTAATTTAAGTCAAATCCCTCAAGTTATAAATTTTTTCATTTTGGTCCTTAAGTTGTCAATTTGAGTTAATTTGGTCCTAGCTAAAATCGACAACTTTGAGGACCAAAATGACAAAATTTAAAACTTGAAGGACTAATAAAATGACAAGAAACGCATATTTTAGGGACCAAAACTGTCTTTTATCCAAGGATAAAATATTTTTTCCATTATCAATGTAAACGCACGTTAGAGAAAGGATAAATTGACTTAAGTTGACAACTTTGAGTACCAAAATGACAAAATTAAAACTTGAGGGATTAAAATGACAAAGAACACATACTTTAAGGACTAAAATGATCTTTTATCCTATTTGAAAAACATTATCCAGATTGAAGGTCAGATATCAGCAAGAATGGTAAAGAAATCATCACCTCTAAACATTTCCTTAGTCTAGTACAGCTATAAGAATCCAATCATACAGTCATTACATCTTCTGGCTACAAAAGCCCATTCGTGGTCAAAGTACTTATAATCTTGTCAACTCAAGCTATACATATAAATGTTTACTTCCAAAGTAGTTCAATTTTTTATTTATTTACTTTTGACACCAAAAATATAAATTTTGTTAATTTGAAACAATAAAGTACATCAAGATAATAAGAATTTAAGAGACATATCACAACTAGCTACACTAAAATAGGTTGGCACATACCAAAAGTCAATCACAGGCCAAAACCTTAACCCAAATCATTACAAAAAAAAAAAAAAAAATAAAAAAAAAAAAAAAAAAAAGAAGTTAGTACGTTGCCAACAATGCACAAAAACTTGGAAGGACAAAACTCCCTTAAAGATATTAATAACAATATCTTACAACATGAGACCTGAACTCCAAGCCCCAATTGAATGCACCGATTGGCAGGGGTGGAACCAGGTTTTGACTCCAGGGTGACCAACTTTTGGCTCTTTTTCTTCATAGATTATTCAGATACGTATATTTCCGAAGGGTAATGATTTCCACCCATGTCACCAAAAAATATTTCAAAGCCCTAAATGACATAGATTTTATCACTGAACCCATTATTATTTTTGTTACTTTTCGGTTAAATATTTTTTATGGGGTCCAAGTTTAAGGAATTCATGTGCTGCTACATCATAAATATCCACTTCTTAGATTCTATTTTTTTATTTTTATTTTTTAATCAGCGAAATAAACTTTATTGATTTCCAACTGAACATCCAGATTACACCAAAAAGAATTGAAGTGCAAAGATCATCATGGTCAAAACAATCTTATCCCAATTAGGTTGGCACAAAAAAGATGACAAATCACCTGCTAGCACCAAAATCAGAGAACAAAAACAAAAGCTACAGGCTTCAGGTTATTGAATGCGATCGATACCGTTACGTCAGCCGATACCGCGATTTAGAACTATGATCTTATCCCAATTAGGTTGGCACAAGAAAGATGACAAATAACCTTCTAGCACCAAAATCGGAGAACAAAAACAAAAAGCTACAGGCTACAGGTTATTGAATGCAGCTCATAAAAGAAAGAACCTTCAAGACCTAGCCAAACACAAAAACCAGAATCAAAACAAAATCAAACCCAACACAGCAGCCCTATATAGTTGATGAGAAATCAAATAATATTTGCTCCATGGCAAATGCAATGACAAGGAAAAATAATATTCAGTTTTTCACCCCTTCAATGTTGTACAGGAAATCGTTGACAGTGAAAATCATTTTAAGGTACATTAAAGTTCAAGAATAAATCATTTTAGGGTTCTGCTACGTATTGGGCAATTTGTTAAAGACCAAGTAATGTCAAAAGCAATTAAAATTTCAATACACATTTCACATCTTTTCATACACTTATGTATTTATATATATATATATATATATTTTCACATATTTTAAT